CCTACCTCCGCCAAAAACTAATCAGCACGTCTCCTTATCAATACGGATCGAATGTTTTTTAAATTATTCAAATTGTTTCATCCGTGTTCCCGAAATCGTCGACGAAAATTTGTATCCGCACACACATACATACACGCACACACACACATACATCCATTTTTTCTAAGGTATGCCAAAATATTCAGAAACCTCTGAAACGTAAAGATATATAAAAATTTTCATTTTCGATTTTTTTGCGATTACTATAACTTGCCCTACAGGAAGTTAAAAAAGAATTCACTTCTGCTGCAATATTTCTGCAAGCTCTAGCAATCAATTCAATTGGTAAAGCTTTTCCACATTCGATAAGTTAACAAATCTATAAAACTAATTCAGATTATACCTTCTTCATCGAAAATTGGAATTTGGAATTTTTATATTTATATTTATATCGTTTTTTGTTTGTTGTTGTTACTACGTGAATTGTCTGCATGACTCGTTTAATAGTTTTGATAAATATGATCAACTAAATCATTTTTTCCAACGAAATCCAGTTTTCCCAACGAAATAACGGTATGCATTTTTTCTTGGCGCTTAATTACAATTTACAGTTAAAATCGCAACTACTAAAAAAAAATTTTAAATTAAAACTTATTAAAAATTACGTAAATACTTTAGACTGAAACTTTATAAAATTTAAAGATTACTAAATAGGTCAGTTTTTCAAAAAAAGGTAAAGAGAGTGAAAATATATCTGGATTCATTTGTGAGAAATTTAGAAAATTAGAGAAAATTAGATAGATAAATAAATATTCTTTTAATATTATGTATTTCTATATTTTGTGAAAAAAAATTTCTTCTTGAGAGGGCCCCCAAACAAACTTTGATATGGGGGCCCGCCAAAGCACGCTACGCCCCTGATTTCACTACTAGACTAGTAGTACCACTAGTACTAGTGGTGCATAGCATCCACAGCCCAAGACAAATTGCCGGAACATCCCGTACCAAAATTTTTTTTTGATAAATGAAAAAAATTTATTTTTGAGAATTTAGATTTTTTTGGAAAACTTGACTTCTGACAAATTAGATTTTTTTTATATTTTGAATTTTTTTTCAAAGCAAAAAACAAAATAGCAGAGCGCGTAGTCGTCGTCACTGTCCAACAGATAAAGTCATTAGTACGGAACCCATAGAAATGTAAACAAAATTTGTACTTATTATTAACCCTTTCATACGGCAGTCCATTCCGCCGGAGTGCTCAAAAGTGTGGTAGTTTTTAACTTCCCGTAGGGTAGGTATAGTAATGGGCCGAAAATCGAAAATGAAAATTTTTGCATATCTTCACGTTTTGAAGGTTTCTGAACATTTTGGCATACCTCAGAAAAAATTTATGTGTGTGTTTTGTATGTCCGCATTTTTTCGTCGACGTTTTCGGGCGCACGGATCAACCAATTTGAATGATTCGAATAACATTCGATTCCTATTGATAGGGAGATGTGCTGATTAGCTTTTGGCAAAGGCAGATCCAGCCGTCACGGAGATACGGAGCAAAGAGTGCAGAAAATAGAAATCGAGTTTTTGAGTGAACGGAGCATCCGACTTGAAAGATGTAAAAAACATTCAATTAGTAATGATTGGGAGAAGTGATTATTAGTTTTTGGCAATGGCAGGCCCAGCCATTTCGAAGATACAGAGCTAAATGTAAAATGGCAGTTTTTGAGAGAACTAAGCGTCCAATTTAAATGATTCAAAGAACTTTCAGCTTGTTTTATCAAAATAATTGATTTTGGAAAAAAAAATTTTTATAATTTTTTTTTTTTTGTATATCGAAAATAATTTAGATTTTATTTTTAATTCTGACTAAAGTTTTAATATACTTTAAACAAATAATTTTAATTTTGCAATTCAGTGTATATAATTCTTATAAATATTACACAATGTTACAATATTTATAATAATGTATTTGAAAACATTTAATATTTCTCGAACATTTCGTTACGGTACGGGAAGTTCCAGCAATTTGCCTTAAGGCACGATGCCATACACCTCTAGTTTACTTTTGTTATTGGATCTCCGAAACAGCTAGACCTATCTTCCCTAAATTTTAATCAGTTTTTCGTTTCGTCAATACAAAAAAAATGTTTTTTTGAATAATTCAAGTCGGACTCTCCGTTCTCTCAAAAACTGAATTACCATTTTTATCAAAAACTAATCAGCACGTCTACCTATTATCGGTTGATTCGTGTTCCCAAAATAAAAAAGTAATGTGTATCCGCACACACACTCACATAATAATACATAAATCTGTCCTAAGGTATGCCAAAATATTCAGAAACCTTTGAAACGTAAAGATATATAAAAAAAATATTTTCGATTTTTTCGCTATTTCTATAACTTACCCTACGGAAAGTTGATAATTGTGAGATAGTCGTGGTGTAATGGTTAAGAACGCGGGCTAGGACAAACTAGTTCCGTGATCTATCCCAATCGTTACATTAGTTCATTGATTTTAATTGAAATATTACTAGTTATAATGTTACTAATAACAGATAAAAATTTTTTCGGCGCCGATTCAAAAACAATTTACCAGCATCTCGACGTAGTATTCTGACATAAACGTACCTGCTGTACATAATCGTTTTTTATATATCCATTACTTTTTTGATGAATTTACAAATAGCTTGGTCGTTCTGACGTATATAGAAAAACAGATTATAATAAAAAAGACCATAGATACTTTGAAAATAACTAATACTAAATTTTACAAAGACAACATAAATTTATTCTACGAGTAAGCAATCTTTTTAATTCACGAATCGCATTTAATTCTTAAAATTTTATGGCAAACCGCATCCATTAAATATTTACAACGCTTGATTTATACTAATGAATATTATAATATAAAAATACTGAATAAAAAATGTAAACACTTCATAAATTAATGCAAAAAGAAAATAATACAATATAATTATTTTTTATTGATAGAAGAATATTGATAAAATAAATAAAACTCTACTTTATTTATCCGCCGCAGAAAAATATTTAATGGCCCTCATTAAAGCCAGCGGGCCTCGCGTTGCTCATCTGCCGAGTGCCTCAGAAGGGCGCAAAGGGTTAATCACATTTTTCCACAATTATAATATTTAATACTGTTCTAAAAATGTATAAAAATATTGTACTAAAATTATAGCCCGATCAATTTAAATCTAAAATCAGGGTGAAAGTTACAATAATTCATAATGGGCTGTATCTTGGCAAAATTGTTTAAAATACAATTGTAAAAGAAATCTCAAAAGTCCTCATCGTTCCGATGCGAGCTAAAAAATGGCACAAGGTCAAGGGTTGAAAAAATGACATTTTCGCGATTTTCAGCTAAATGGTCAATTTTATCGCAAAATTACATGAGACAATTTTGTAGATCATAAAATTATCTACAAAAAATGCATCAATACTTTTTTTCCTCAGAGCCACCGTTTTGAAGATATATCTCTTTAAAAAGAACGTTTAAACGCCACCTACGAAGTAGTGTGCTTAGCGCATTTTTTTACGTGATTTTCCCAGTAGGCCTATTTCACGGGTTGTTGTGATTTTGTTTGTTTCGCAACTATTGCAAATATTTGTGGTTTTGGGTTGGTTAAAATAAAGGTGGTAATTATAAAAAGCAGCTAAATTTATTCGCCGGAGACATAGTTTTTAAATGTTTCTACATCTTCTTCTTCTTCACTTTGATTATAAGTGAATTGTTCTAATAGCGATTCCTCTTGGCATCAAAGTATACTTTACTATAGTTCATAAATTTTGCTTCGTTAGTATGCCAATATATATTGGCATTTTATACGATTTGGATAAGCTCCGTTATAATGCATATATTTTTTGGTATACATTAAAAATATCATGTTTTTATTTACCAGACGAAAATTAAGGCCTTTATGCAATAATATTATTTCCTTTCTAAAACTCGAAATTTTCACAGTTTTTGGTTTCAAATATTTGGTTAGAATTTGGTATTTAGAAAACTAATATTTTCTGGCACGGAACGCAAAAGTTAGTTAGTAATGCTATAGAAAAAATATTACAATTTCATAATAATAGAAGAAAATGGTAACTTTAGCTACTTCTTCGCCATAAGTCCGAAATTTCCGTTGCGAAAAAGCAATTGCTCTGCACAAAAGATACGCATATTCGTCTGTTCTCAAAGTTTATAACCAGAATAATCAAAAGTTTTTAGGAATGTAATGACGAAAAAAATATTTGTGATTATTTCTCGATTAAAAAATCTTACTCTATGGTAAAAAGTCTAGCTTTAGTTTGAAAACTACTACATAGACTAAATGCTATATATAAAAAACTTCAATAACTAAATTATCTCAGAAGCTTGCACCAAACAAATAGTTTTGGCTAGTCAAAATAAACTTTTAGTTTTGTTTTTGTTATATTAATTATTGAAACTATTATTATAAATTATTGTTGCAATAAAAATTATACTAACTAGTTATCAAAAACTTAAAATTTATTAAAAATAGAAGTAAAATTAAGAATAAAAATTAAATCTCAACAAGATCGTATCTGTTCATAGATTCTCAATTATATTTAAATAAAACAGTTTAAAAACTTACATGGGTTTAAAGATGATATTCGTCCTTTTAAGAGCCAGCACCTATAAATTCTATGTTAGGAATTCTACATACTTATAAGTTCCACCATTACATACTCCTGATTCAATACCAGTTTACACTATCACATTTGATTGATCTGAGATGAACTTAATATAAGATCTGAAGGCACTAAAGCAATTTCATGAGATGAGTACATATTGAAATATAACAATATTTCACAAAAAAAGTTATATATTATTTACAATATCTAGTACAATACATGCATAGCACCATGAATTTAAAAACTATATGTAGTGACAATGAGTTATATTAAGAATGCTAGAAAACTAATAACTTATAGAAGCTTTAATGCAAGTTTATTAATTCAGTAAATAGTAACAAATATTTGAATTTTTATCACTGTCTAACATTTTCATAATGCTATATATGAAACTTCAATTTACTTCTTAAGCTCAGCCAAATGTTTTTCATGTCTCTCCAAAGCCTCCTTGTGAAGTTTTAATTGTTCCTCATGGAAAGTTTTCTGATCTATTGCTTGTTCCTTAAGTTTCTTCAACTGGGCTTGTTGCTTAGAAAATAAATTGAATATAATTTATTATTTTATACACAACGTTTAAGCAAATAAAATTTAATACCACATTCATCATCAATTGAAAAGTTTATTGTAATTTACAGTGTGCAAATTATAACACCAATTTGATAATGAGATGTGGTAAAATTGACAAAACTAATTTCGAATACATGAAAAGCACGAATAATAGTATTATTGTAAATTTATATCATAATTACCTGTTTATAAAAGAATTCTTCTTCTCTAGCAGCTTCCATTCTGCCGAAAGATCCACCTGCTTCACGGATGGATCCACCACCACCACCTCCTTTGCCAGCACCGTCACCATACTGTCCAGTTGACATTCTTATGCACCATAATTATTTGAATTAATAACATTACAAATATTAAGAATGAAAGTACATATATCACACCAATAGAAAAAGACTAGATTTAAATAATGTCATAGTTTGTCTTAGCTTCGAACAAATAATCAAAAAAGTAATAAAAAACTGAAGTTTTTTAAAAAACCATTTCTTTATTTATTTACTGTCTACGTTTCGGAACTAGGTACGTTCCATCTTCAGGACATCTGTCTAGAAACATGATTTTGATAAAATTTAAGCAAACAATATGTTTAAGAAAAACAGAAGATGGTGGATTTTTTATAAAAAATATAGTACAAAATATGACAATATAATCGAAATGAAAATGATAAAAATAAATGAGTGGATTATATAACAAAATATTAAAAATGTTAAAACATTAGAAAGGTTACTGAAAAAACCAAATCAACTACCTGTATGATTGATTGTACGCTAACACTTTTTCACTAAAAAACAGTTATCAAAAAACTGATTTTATAAATTTCTTGTCAGACAAAGGAACAAATTTTGTAATTCAAAATTTCTTTGAATTAAGTCTTTTTTGAGTTTGTTAAGTGAGACAAAAAGTATTATTCCTTCGATGTTATAGGATGACTGTTTGACAACCTTATTATTAAACAATGGATTTTTTTAAAAAGAAAAACACTTGATTTATAATCTGTCTGTATATGTGTGCATGTTAGACTTAAATTATTGATCTTCAATGGATGTCGATATTAATTATTTATCAAAAAGTGTGAAAAATTTAAATAAGAATCATGTAACAGGTTGTGATCTAATCTAATGTTAACACTATTAGAAGCGTTCATAAGTATAAGACAACTTGCCGCAAATAACCACTTAAAGATGCAATTTTAATGATATAAAATTTTTGGAGTGAAGTTAAACGAGTGAGCATTTTCGACAGAGTGTTGTACCAGGATACTTTTGAATTTTTTTGTTTATGGTGAACTACACTTAATTCATGCTGCCTTATTCTTTTGTGTACCTGTATATATTGTGAGGTTTGTCCAATGTATTGGAAAGAGCAGTCGTTGCAAGAAACAGAATATACAACATCAGTATTGAAATTGAATGAAGTAGGAGATTTAATGATCATAATATATATATATATATATATATATATATATACAACTAATAAAAATCATACACGCACAATCCCTACCTGTAAATGTGCAAATAATTATAATGATGGTAAGAAAATATTGACAAACATTCAAACAAGTTAGCAAATATTTATAAAATTTTATATTATCTAATAGTTGCAAAGTATGCAAAATATAAATAGAATCTACAATTTAAATTAAAGTATTATTTATAGCAGTTAATATAATAATTTACGTTGAACATCAAAATTTGTGCAAATCATCAAGACAGAACACGCCAACACTGTTTTTCTTCACAATCTAAATATTATTGCGTAATATGTACCGGCATAATAACAA